GCTCAGACAGGGCCAACCAGCAGGACAGCCAGTCCCTCTCTGTCTCTTAATTACAATCAGTTGTCATTTTTCCAAGAAAAACCCAGTTTTAACCACTCATTTGGGATGTTTTTGTCCCTGCAAACCAACAGCGGCCAGAGGCTTATCTTTCCTTCGACTTACGTATTGAAGGGTCTGACATAACCACCATCACGTATGTATTTGATGTAAAGATGTCAATGAAAGCAGCAAAGTTAGAGTTCCTGACCTCCATGCTCTGGAAAGAAGCCGCCAGCTTACTAAGAGGGGAGGAAAAAAAAAAAAAAAAGGGACAAAAAGGGTAAATTAACTATCGCAGTAACATTGTTCAAACAGCCTTTGCACCCACATAGCCAACAGCCCGTTACTGGAGTAACAAAGAAGCGTTTGAGTCCCCACATTTCACCAGGGGCGACCGCAAGTTTGGCTGTTTTTAAAGAGGAAAACTTCAGCTTTCGGCTAAACGAGATTAAAATGCTTTTTTCCCAAGCCAAATCATTCCACGACCCGGGCACTGAAGAGCGAAGGTAAGTCAAGATACACGACCCCGCTGACTAAGTCTGCCCTGGAATCTCCTCACCTTGCCCAGGAGGACGAGGCCCAGCAGACAAGGGCTGTTTCAAAACAAGCCTCTTCCGACCCCCGGGTTTCAGGGGAGGAAGCTACAGAAGTCAGCACTTGGCTTGGCTGCGTTTAAGCGCGGTGCGTTTTAACTGTGGCACCTCAGCTCACCGAGGGGTGACGGAACCGGTCCGGATTCGGAGAGCCTTCGTGCCCCTGCTGAGGTGCCGCCCCCAGCCAACGATCAAACCCGCTCACCTGCAGCTCAGCTTGAATTGTTTAATAATGTTGCTGATTTTCTCGAACCTGTGGACATCCCGCTGTTCCTTGCACTGATAGTGAGAAATGACCTGGGAGGCAGAAAGAGAGAGAGGGCACCGTTACGGCCTTGATTCCAGCACAGGTCGCCCAGGCTCAACGGCAAGAAACGGGTGGTGGCCAGGACAGGGATCCCCTTCGCCTTTCGCTGGTTGAATCTTGGAAATTTTGGCCATTTGAGGTCTGAACGCTCCAACTTAGCGCCAATTTAAATCTTGATTCGAAGGAAAAGAAAGTGCAAGGGGAGGGGGAAAACAAAAAAAGCAGCAAGACCATCACCTCAGGTAGCGGAAACAAGACACTCGACAAACGCGGGAAGAGCTTTTCCTTCTTCAGTCTATCTCAAGGATTGAACCTGAGACATTCCCCGTTCCTGACCCCCGAGACATTCCCCGTTCCTGACCCCCGAGAAATTCCCCGTTCCTGACCCCCGAGAAACTCCCCGTTCTGCAGCAGGCAGGACGCACGAGCACCGCTCCCGCAGCCCAAGCGGCTGACCCCCAAGAAATTCCCCGTTCCTGACCCCCGAGAAACTCCCCGTTCCTCAGCAGGCAGGACGCACGAGCACCGCTCCCGCAGCCCAAGCGGCACACAGGCGGCCGCTTTCCCGGGGAGCTCTCGCTCCATCAGTTCCCAAGACCGCGCGCTAAGCTGCTCGCATTCGGATCGGCTCCCCCCTCCTCTTCCTCCCACGCAGACCTTAGTGCCTGGCTGCAAAGATTCAAAGTTTTGGGGAATCCTTGCAGCTCTCCCTGACCAAGGCTGGGCACCTACAGACCTTTACTCCTCAAGCCACATCGGCCAGCGGGCCGAGAAGGGCCTTTACTGCCTAAGGGGAGCGGCACCCAACCCACCAGCCACAGCAACCCAAAAATGGGTATTTTAAACCCCTCGTGCCGTGTGCTCTGAGCTCCTCAGAACCACGAAACCACCTGTGAGCACATTCAACTCTTACTTTTCTACCAGGTTTGTGAGAAATCAGTATTTTGGTTGGGTTTTTTTTTTTTTTCCTTTTTCCTTGAGCACCTTCAAACAACCCCGTACTTCTGACTTTTTTCAACGTGCCCAATTATTCCTACAAGCACGGGTTCGCCAGGCTCAAGGGCTGCATTCACCCCAAAGCCTTCCTGGCGCGCGAGTCTGTTCCTTAACTTTTCCCCATCGGTTTTTCTGCCCCTGTGACTTGAACACAATTTCAGGGTAAGATTTCGCTTCAGGGGAAAAGAGTGGTTGGGGAAAGTTTAAATACGTGGGGGAAAAAAAAAAAGTAAGAAGTGTCTTTAAAAAAAGTCACCATGATGCTGAAAATAAGCGGAGAATTTTTGTAGCAAAGATTATTCTTTTTCAGCAAAAAAAAAATCCTTATAATAAAAGTACCGTCACAGACCACCAAGGTGGAACTATTTATTATCTACCAAAGGTCAAAAAGCAGAACTTGCCAGAAGCGACAAGTGTTCACTTCTGACAGATTAAGAAGTGAGAAGCAGTAATGGCTCCTTTCCCACATTCCCTCTATCATTTCAAAAATCAGACATTTGGCCATCAAGGAAAGCACTCAAAAAAACCCACCCAAAACACCCCGTCCCTTCCGACCAGCAAGGGTTTTGGTGCAAAGCCTGAGGAGATTAATCCAGAAACCAAGAGTATGGACGGCAGCAACGGCGGTTTCGACCCACGCGCTCGCGCTTCACCGCGCGGAGGCAACAGGCCAGAGACCCGTTCGAAAGCCGTCGCGGTCCCGTTGCTTGGGACCCTCTGCCCATGCTCTGGGTTTGTAAAGCATCAAAAAAAAAAAAAACCTCCCCAAAAATAAAAAGACATCAAGCTCAGTTAAAATGCCAGACCAGGAGGAACTGAAAAGGCTTCTTTCGAGCTAAAGAAGGTTCTTGCCCTGCGCAGAAAGGAATTCTCAAGGACGTCCCACGGCCGACGGTGGAACGGGGATATGAAACCCTCTCATAGCTCGGGAGAGGGAAACAGCCCTCAAGCCCTCAGCTCGAGGGCTAGAAGTGGAAATTTGGGGCAGGTCCCGTGAGCCACGGAGTCAGGGCAGCTACTTTCCCTCTCGCCAGGCCCGGATCGAGGCGTTCCGCCCTCTGGCGCTGGCACCTCTCTTTGGGCAACGGCCCCCGCAGCCCTTTCCACCCAGGGAACCCCGTCCTAGGCCGGGCAGAGGAACCTGCGGGGCACAACTGCTGGATTCACCAGGAAAGTGGCTCTCTCAAACAGAAGCACTTCATCGGCCTCGATGATCTGAGCAAAGTTCCTCAGGTTCATCTCCAGCTGCTGGACGTTGGGGATCAGCTGATAGACTATGCTGGACCAAGCCTGTCAAGAAAGAAAGACACCGTAAGGGTCGTGTTAGCGCTTCTCTGCCTCATCCTCTTGTCACAGAACGTGCTCAAAAACCCTTTCTTTGCAGTTCTGGGTGTCGACAGCCTAGGCAAGACCGAGAAGCTTCTCCCATCTCCATGTCCAGGTCTCTCTACTACAGCAGAGGCCACCAGTGGTACCCCAGACCCAAGTAAACTCTTCACTACATCAAGCTCTTCTCCACACCGGCCAGATAAACTAGACTCCCATTCAACAGGCTTAAACCATCCTCATTTCAAGCTGGCAATGCTTCTATCTGCTGCTCCCAGATCAACCTGCTCAAGTTGTAAGAGCGTTTGTTTGATCTCGGGCAAGGTCAACACGCAGATGGACACTTGGCAGCACGTCCCTGATCCAAACAGAAAGCTCTAACCTAACCCCTGCGTCAGGAACGAGCCCAGAAGGGACCGGGGATGCTGTGACAGGCATCTGGCCTCATTCAGACTCGAGTCTTCTAAGCTCAGCTTCTCCTCACCGCCTACCGACCGACCCAGGTTTGTGTCAGGGTCAGAGAAGTCCACATCCATCCTGTTTTCACATTTATTAGATGTAGAAATTCATTTAGAATTGCTATTTTTTTTTTTTCAATTTGCCTCTAAATTAATACTAACCAATGTGAATTTATTCAAATGCAGCTTATCACCATCTCTGAAAGTTCTCCAATTGTATTGCATCAACAAACCAAAAACTTCCATAGAACACCCGGCAGCAGTCTCTAAAACACGAAATTCATCATTGCCCATTCATTTCTAACAGTGTCATCACACAATATAGTAATATTCTACTATAAGGCACACTGAAACCTGATCTGCAGTAAAATGATTTTCTAGGCATTTGAAAAGTACCAAAAAGAAAAAATTCTTGAGAAAAAAAAATAATGCTGCTTTTTGATTTACACAGATTGCTTTTCTTTGGGGCGGGGGGTAATTGAAAAAAAATCCTAAAGTTCTTATAACATCATTATTTCTTTTTGTCTTTTTTTTTTTTTAATCTGGAAAGCTTTTGTTAAGACCCGGATGGTTGTGGAACTCACAGCTCAAAAGCAATCCTCCGACTTCTTTGAGCTTCTCCCCAAGAGCCAGGGTGGATATTCGTGTCTCCTGTTCCCCAAGGCCCTGGTGTTTACCGAACGCTCCTGCCAGCCCACTTGCCAAACACAGAGGTAACAGGGCTGTGCCTGGAGCCGCTCCAGCGGAGGAACGGGTGAACGTTGGGGAAAAGGAATGCCAGGGCTTCGGAAGGCTGATCTCCAGAGGGAGCTGGGCACGCGCTCTGGGAACAGCCACGCCTGGATCAGCCTCGGCCAAACCCACCACAGGCCGAAGGCAGGGGATGGTTCTGGGGGGACGGGCCAGGACGGTGAAAGGCGCCACCCCAAGTGTCGCTGAAGTCAAGAGAAAGAGCCGAAGGGTCCTCGCCCGCCCAAGCCACGCTGCCACCACGCTGGCCACCACGCTGGCCACGGGAACCAGCACTGGCTGGCAGCGCGGCCCAGGCAGCAGCGCTCACTCCCACCCCTGGGAGAGCTCTGGCACTGCAGCCAGGACTGACTGCTGGCAAAAAACCCGATCCCCCTCCCGAAAGGAAAGTAAATTCCCAGAGGGGTAAATGCTTCTAGCATGTCCACCTCCTCCCCCTACCATGTCCAC